AAAAGCCTACGTCATGCCCTCGATAATAATGTTACCTTTAATTTTTGTAAGAGGTCAATTTACTCTAAATTTTAAACTAACGGAGCTAAACGTGATCTGCTRAGCMTAMAATTWKYYATRTTACGMACTTGTAAGACGGAGACAACGTATGCGGGTGTAGCGTCCTCTTAATCTAGTCGGTAGTGTCACTAACACTAATGATCATTTACTACCTACGCACGCACATATCAGCATATAATGTAGGTAAAAAATGCTCATAACTCACTTAAAAATTGAATTATCGTAAAAAACCAACGTACAAACACGAATAATGTTCTTACCATCAAGTTTCATAATAGGTCGATTCACTGTAATTTTTAAACTAACGAAGCTACAAGTGTTCCGCTGAGCGTAAATTTGGTATATTACGCACTGTTAAGACGGAGACAACAAATACCACTGTTACGTACTCCCAACTTTGGTATACTTACTATGCGTGGCGTGTGACGTATGAGTGAGTTCATATTATTGAATGATATTGAAAATTATTTAGGTATTTGTCTAAATCTAATTTATTTTATTTTGGTTTTTATATATTTTTTTTATTCATCAATTGATTTATTACTGCCACCGCCTCCTCCCTTAGATGTTGACAGAATGACGCTCTTGGTTGACGCTAACTGCCMAAAACGGCTAGCATATGAAGTAACAGTTGACGGACATCACACCCGTAAGTAGGTACGTCATATATATTAACTCGGGGGTTGGAAATTGAATTCGCAGGTTGGTTATTTGCATTATTTGAAGGGACGGATTTGAATGCGTACCTAATATGTGACACCTGCAGTAAGTAAAAATACTTTTAAAGTTCGTGGAAAATAATTTGTTGAAAAGCGGAAAACTCCCGAAGTTTTGACACACACACATTTGGCTGGACCTCTGACGCGAAATGTCTGCCAGTGACCGATGGTACCTATCTTAAGTATTGAGTGGTTGTGTGGTCTTATTGACATTATTTACACTACCTACTGATAATGGTGGACCATGATTTCGTCATGCACACGTCATGTACCTACACATGTAATTTGTTCATTTCGATTTTATATTATGAAATCAAATGAATTATAAAATGTTGTACAAACATTGAGAATGATTAGTTGACGACTTGACGTTACAGCAGTGAGTGGAATCAAAAACCTATGTCGATTTCTGTGAGTGTGAAATTTCCAAGGATATAGGTACTTACGGTAAATTTATAATTATTGATTCATATAAGTCTTTAAATTTTTATTTTAAAGGGATTTAGGGATTCCTCTAATCAGAAAAAAAATTATTTCAACATTTGATTAGATTATAAATGTAAAAAGTGAAGTGCTTATTCATAACAATTTAGTGCCGTGGATTATTTAAATTTAAGTAAGTACCTATGCATAGTTTTTGTGTTAGGTACTGAAGAGTACTTTACATTTAGAAATATGTATACTAATCTTTATTAGGTTACTGGTACCTTAGCATTTAATTTTTTTTATCGTTTATCGTTATAATAAAATAATATAAATACTTTGTGTTTAACTTTTGAGACCACTTATATACACATTGTTGATTTATTTACTTAAGTGAATACTATACACATAAGTACTTACGTATTTATCTGCATGATACAATATGCAAGTATTTACATAATATTAATATATTATACTAAAAATAATAATTTCGCAATAAGCAATAACTATGTTCAAGATTTATATTCTATGGAACTGTTAAAAATTGAATTTTGAATATGTGCTTAAGTCACGCTACGCCATTAATTAGGTAATAGGTACTATTAATACAAAATTGTATATGTACTATGTGCTTATGTGCTTATTTAAATGTATTCATCATAGTAAACGTAGGTCTAAATCCGTTGTCTTAGTCCATCACTTGTACATCATATAAATATCACGCATTGTATTGAGAACATAATTATTATTAAACATTAAATTGTTGAAGATTATTTATTTTGTTCTTTAATCTTTTAAGTCAATAATTGACCAACAACTAAATTCACTAATTAAAGTCCGACCATACAAATTCCTGAATTCCTCCCATGAAACACCAACTTTGATACCAATCCCGAGTTAACAAAATTCAAAAAAGAACCCACCGTTCCAAAAATGTATAAAAACCACTTTCGCAAAAATGACAAGCTATTTAACACAGATGACTCCTTATCAGAAGAAGCAGTGGGAATAACAACCAAAAGCGAAAATCTTACCTTCATTTATAAACTTCTGAAAGTTGTTCCACCTATACTGCAATCCTTAAGTCAGCGCAACACATACTCGACCATGAGAACATTCATTAAAAAAAACATAATTCTCTCAGATTCACTGAGCACATTTCAAAGTCTAAAAATACAATTAAAACAACAGCAAAGCTAATATATCAAACAATAAACTAATCAAGAAGCAAAGGAATACAGATTCTAATCTGGATTTCTGGAAACAACAACATCAAAGGGAGCGAAATAAATGAAGAAACAAAGTACCTAAGCAGTTAATCCACAGGTACCCCAAAACTTAATACAACAACTTATGCAGATTTAAAAAGCAAAATAAAAGAGCTCATYCTAATCAATTGGCAGACCCACTAGCTCAAGAAGAACACCAAATTAAGAATAATAAAAAATAAATTCCAATACCATATTGTACAACCAAATCTAACAAAAATTGTAACTAAAAAATTTAAAAAAAATTGTTCAACGTCAGTC